CACTCGTTATCTTTATTTCTGGGTGTGAGAGCATCACTCCACCGCTGCCCGCTTCCCCCGTGCCCCCCCGCCCGCCCGGGGACGCTCATCCCTACTGCAGGCGCGCTACTGCCTCCGGGGAGGCACCGCCGGAACCTCCCCGTTCTCTGCGGGCCATCCCGGCGATAATTCCGGCAGCCGGAGCCCCACAGCCCCAACAACACCACTGCGGTCCCCCCGCTCCGTCCCCGCTCCTCCCGCACCGCCCCGGATGCAGCCGCACCGCCCCGAGCGCTTCCGCCTGCGCCTGCGCCGAGCGCTCGGCGCTCCCATTGGCTGGCGGGCGCGGCGGGGGCGGGGCCAGGAGAGCCGTAGCTCTCCAGTGTCTGCAGACACCCATTGGCTGTCGGCACAGGAGGGGCGGGGCCAGAACTGACGAAGCGTGCTCCCATTGGCTGGCGGGCAGGGCGGGGCCAGGGGCGGGGCGGGNTAGGTTGAAAGCAAAAATAAAAAGGCAAAAAGGAGATGAATGCTGGGGAAGTGACTCCTCCAGACGTGTTCTGGTGCATCTCTGTGTAGTTCACACCACACCCAAGAACAGTGTCAGCCTCTGCCACTCAGGCTCCTGTGCCTGAGCCCAGACTCTCCCAGAATGGCTGTTGGTGGTGTCCTCCTTCCTCAAAACCTCAGGAGCTTTTCCCAAATACCAAAGAAATCTGCCCAGCAGCTCAAAACCCACTTCCCCCCAGACCCACACCCCTTTGGCAGCAGTTACCAGTCTGGAGTCACACAGTCCTTGTCTCCTGCTTTGGGAAACAACCTCACCTGTGTCCTGACCTTTACCCAACAGCAGGAGATCCTTGTTCACTGACAAGTTCCAGTGAATTTGTTTTACACGGTCATAAACTAGGGAATAAAATGCCTCTGCCACTTCTCTGTATTTCCAGAGAGCCACAGCAGGGTTTTCTCACTGCTTCTCATTCACCACGTGTATGTGGAAGGTGAGGGATTCTCCCAGACACAGAAGTATTCTGAACTTTGAAGTCCAAATCCTGGCTGAGCTGGAGCTACTAACCAAACTTCTCACCCCTTTCCCACCCTGTGTAAAGCTGAAGAACCCTTCTAGTCCCTTTTTTTTTCCTTTGCAAGCCCACCAAGAAAAATAAAGAATGGAGAAGTCAGTCCCTGTGCAGACACCCCTGGCTCTCTAGCAGACAGACCCACACCTCTCTCCTGATCCTTGGCCATGTGGATTTATGTCACAGGGAAATGCTGCCTGTCCCCTGTTTGCCTGCCTGTGTTCTACAGACACCACTCCTCTGAACACCTCCAAATCTGCCTGGTAAAAAAATATTAAAGCCACAATCCTCATGGGATATCCTTTACCCCAGCCTGGATAAAGAACAGGAAACCTCATTCACACAGGTGTGGCAGTTTTGGACTCCCACAATGTCATGTAACAGGGGTGCCAGAAATCCCCACAGTGAAAACCAAGGCACAGGGATGGTATCTAGGTTTTAGTTTTGTTTTCTCACTTGTCAAAATCGCACAGCAGAGCAAACTTGCATAAAATATTCAAACTCTGCACAGAGCCACAATTCTTTGTGAACACAGTGCAAAGGTTTGTGCACGGCCCTCGTTGGAAGAAACCTGTTTGGAACAGGAGGCTCTGGTTGTTGCCTACCTACAGCTGTTGTAACTATGTCAGTTAATTAATTTAGTCAGTGACAGAAAAATCACAAAGAGGTTTAAAGAGAACCAGCTGAAGCTGGGAAAGCTCTGTGGTGAAGTGATGCCACACCAGCTCTCCCCTCCTCATCTTTTGCTGTTGTTTCTGCTCCCTGAGTGCAGCCTCAGTGGGACCTGCTCTGCTCCTTCTCCCTGCCTGGCAGAGCAGGGCTGTCCAGCACTGGGACACCTCACCAGTCCCACCTGGGAGTCCAGCTCTTGCTTTTATAAATTGCTGCGTGGCTTAAAAACACATCACCTCTAAAAAGGTCAGAAACCAGGCAGCTCATCACTTTTTCTATGCCTTCTACCCAGCAGTATTTTTCTCTTTTATTATGTTAGTCAGGTGCTAAACAAATAAAATCAATTCTGAACTTATAAAAAGCAATTGGAAATGTCTAGTCCTTTATAGTGAAATCTCAACTGAAGCAGCCCACAGCACTTGGAGAAAAATCAATCATCATTTCCATCCTGCTACGTGTGCTACTAAAATTAAGAATTGATGTTCGGCCGCAAAGGAAAATTATTTCAAGAGAACCACCTTAGCAACAGTTTTCGGTGGTCATAAACCTCCCGTTTAAACAAACATCTACATCCCACCATGAATTATGAATATTAATGAGCAATCCTGATTTACATACAGTTTCCACCTTAATGGGCATCAAAGTTGCAAGCAGGGCAACAGCACCACTTACTGTAATAGCAGGTAGTAAAGATGTCCTGAGCCTAAAGATGCCATAAACCAAAGTGTTAAACGCCCCTATAATTACAGCCTCTCCCACATCCAACCCAAACTTCCTATTATTTTGCCAGTGGCCTTTTCATGAAGACAGAGAGCCTGACAAGCTGGAGTGAGGCATCTGAAGAAGCACTTAACTCTGCTGTGGCCTAAATATTCTAGCAACTGTGTGCTCTGTCCATTTGGAAGCACCACTCCTCTGCATCTCCTTTGATTTATTGCAGCAAAGCCTGTGTAACTTGTATGATATTCTGTGCACACCACATTAATATCCTCTAGTATAAGCCACAGTGAAAACCACCCTTTCCCCCAGACATTTTCCATCCCACCAGCTCTATTTATTAACAGGCACAGAGGTGATTTCCACACCACCATGTGGAAGCTGCTGTCTCTCCAACACTCAGGGGCTGTGCAGCATCTGTCTGACACCCTGACCACGGTGCTCTCCCCTCTGGCAACGGGAGCTGCTCCCACTCAGCTCTCCAGGGTTTTCTCAGCCCCTCTGTGCTGGGGTTTGTGGTGGCCACAACAGTCACTTTGCTCCAGCATGGCCTGTAATCCACCTGTGTCAGGAGTTGCCTGGGAGGAGACAGCGCCATGTGCCCTCCAAACCCATCTCAGGATGAATGAAGTGCTCTCAGAAAGGGTGAGGAGGGTGATGAGCACTGCACCAAAAGCAGTTTTTCCAAGTTTTTCCCAACCAGCTCAGTTTGACTCAGTCAACTCTCTCAGCCGCTGCTCTCTTCCACACCAATCCCTGGATTCAGTCCCACTTACACCACCCCGTGCTCACTCCTTGTTTTGGTCTTTTAATTAGTGCAATTAGCCCCCCAGGAGTCCTTCTCCTCCCTGGCCTCGATGGCAGAGCAATCCCACCTTCCCAGCTCTCCCTCTGATGCCAGGAGGGACACAGCTCTGCCTTGTCCTGCCTTTCTTGCAACTCACACCCTGTACGTGTTTCAAAAAGGCTTCAGTCAATTTTAGAATTGAAAAACTGACTTGGATAGGGAAATTAGTGCTCCAGTAGAAAGCAAAAGGCAGTGCTCTAGAACATTGTTAAATTTAAGTCTGGAAAATGAACTTTAACAAAAAGCATTCCAGTAATGGACTGTGGCAGCTTTTAGTGAAATCAGCTCCAGCAGTTTGATTTTCCCAGGAACACAGTGAGATATACTCCAGCAGCCTTGAGCCATGGAATAAGCAAGCAGACAGTTTTATGATAAATGGTCCCAGAAACTCAAATTACAGCTGCAGCAAATGAACAATATGTTTAAATTACCCGGTGGCTTTTCGTTTGGGCCACTGGTATCCGGGTGTGCACTGACACCTAGTGGGATGGCCCCGGGCTGGGAGACGAGGGGAAACTGGGTTTATTTTGTTACAGAACATCAACAGCCAGCCCTCCCTGATGCTAAACATCCTTTCCCATGGGGGGAGTGGTTGGAATTAGATATCTTTGGGGTCTTTCCCAATCCAAACCATCCCCTATAAATGCCATGAGAAGCCAAAGTGTTGGGTTATTTGTGCCCCTTCCTCTCCTGCAAGCAAAGTGGGTTAGTTTTGATTTCTAAATGCTGCACCTTTGCCAGGCAAAGGGCTGGTTTATCACTTTTCCTCTTGTTCCTGCTCTCCCTGCCCAGGTCACCCCCCTCCTCACCCATGGGCACGGATGGGGAGAACAGGAAGGATTTACTGTGGATCAATGCAAGTCTAAAGGTGCAGGTGTAGCGAGAGCTCTGCCAATCCTGATGTTAAAATTCAACCTGGTTGAACAGCAGGGTGCCAAAATCAGTGTGATCACACTGGGAATACAGGCTTGGGAATCTTTCCTGGTGTGAGCCACAGCACTGATGGCAGAACCAGAGTGGTTTAGGTTGGGAGGGACCTTAGAGCCCATCTTATTCCACCCCCTCCCATGGGCAGGGACACCTCCCACTAGCCCAGGTTGCTCCAAGCCCCGTCCAACTCGGCCTCGAACGCTTCCAAGGATGGGGCAGCCACAGCTTCTCTGGGCAACCGGTGCCAGTGCTTCCGGAAGTGATCTTAGGTTGAAAGCAAAAATAAAAAGGCAAAAAGGAGAACAGGGCAATCCCTTCCAGAGCAGCTGGGCCCTCCGCTGGCAACACCTCCTTACTGTGCGAACCTCACAGCACTCGTTATCTTTATTTCTGGGTGTGAGAGCATCACTCCACCGCTGCCCGCTTCCCCCGTGCCCCCCCGCCCGCCCGGGGACGCTCATCCCTACTGCAGGCGCGCTACTGCCTCCGGGGAGGCACCGCCGGAACCTCCCCGTTCTCTGCGGGCCATCCCGGCGATAATTCCGGCAGCCGGAGCCCCACAGCCCCAACAACACCACTGCGGTCCCCCCGCTCCGTCCCCGCTCCTCCCGCACCGCCCCGGATGCAGCCGCGCCGCCCCGAGCGCTTCCGCCTGCGCCTGCGCCGAGCGCTCGGCGCTCCCATTGGCTGGCGGGCAGGGCGGGGCCAGGGGCGGGGCGGGTGCGGGATGGGGGAGCGGGGGGCGCTGCGGGTGAGATCCAGGTGAGATCCAGGTGAGATCCAGGTGAGATCCAGAGGAGGATCCAGAGGAGGGGCTCCCCCGGCGATGCGAGGGCCCGGTGCGGCCGTGCTGCGCTGCCTCGGCTCCCTGCTGTGCCTCTGGGCGCTGCGGCTCCCGGCGGGCCCCGGCGCGGCCGCCCGCGGGCTGGACGTCGCTTCGTACCGGTGAGTGCGGGGCGGGAGGGGCGGGGACCGGGCCGGGCCGGGTTGGGCCGGGACTGAGCGCGATGTGCCTGTGCTGCAGGGAGAGGGTGCGGGCCATGTTCTACCACGCCTACGAGCACTACCTGGAGAGCGCCTTCCCCTACGACGAGCTGCGGCCGCTGACTTGCGACGGGCAGGACACCTGGGGCAGGTGAGGGGTGTCCCCGCGATGGGCGTGGGGATGAGCGTCCTTCCCCCACCCCCCCGCCGGGTCTCACCTCGCTTCTCTCCTCCTCCACAGCTTCTCCCTCACGCTCATCGACGCCCTGGACACGCTGCTAGTGAGTACGAGCCGGCCCTGTATGGTTTTGTGGAGGCAGAGCTAAGTGTAAAAAAGAATAAGCAGAGAGGAGGTAGAGTTAGAGAAATAACCACAGTGCTCGTAACTGCGCTGGAGTCTCGTGTTTGGCGTTGTTCCTGAACACCTGCAGCACCCACACTGTGCCCTCAAGGCCACTGAGAACTGCCTGCACACCTGGTTTTTACGTGGCAGTGACAGAAAGTCAGCTATTCATTGACCCTGGAGCTTTGTGTTTCACTTGGCATCACCCCTGGGGAGCAGGTGGCCAGAGCTCCCCATCCCTCACACCTCCTAACTCTGGAATAAAGGCCTAAAATGTGTCAAGAAAGCATTTTAAACACAATGAAACTGTCAATCCCCTCTTTAGTACTATCCGTAATTAATGATTTCACAAAATAGCGAAACAAAACTAGAATCAGCCCCAAGCACTGAACTGCCACTTGTTTTCCCATGAACTCTAAGCTTTGTTCCCTGTTCTTCTGTTCCCCTGCAGATCTTGGGGAACGTTTCTGAGTTCCAGAGAGTTGTCAATGTGCTGCAGGAAGGGCTGGACTTCGACATTGATGTCAATGCATCTGTCTTTGAAACCAACATTCGAGGTGAGGTGGGTTTTCCTGGGGGGTTTGTGGTGGATTTCCTTCCTGTTCGAGCCTCTGAGCTGCACACAAGGGTAATGTGAGGTGGTGGTCACAGGGAATTTTTGGTGCAGAGTGACAGGACATGTAAACAGGCAGAAAAATCCGAAAGAAATTCACTTCCTTTTTCTCTTTGCACATCCCTCTCAGCTTCCTGCCCCAGCAGAAACAGAAGTAGGCGTGGCAGTTTCAATATTCTCGTGTGAGGTTTTGAGCCTTGGAATAAACATCTTTTCCACTGAAACAGGACAGATTATACCCTGTCTTCCTTCACACACTGTTTTGGAATAGAGATTATTGATTTCTAGTTTTGGCCTTTTCTCCTTGAAAATCACAAAGGCCTTTGGAGTCTTGTACCTGACCGAATTCCTGACTGCTTCAGTGCCATCCAACTAAAAACACTGTCAGGGTACAAAACTGTTAGTTATGCTTTTGTTGTCTCTCCTGTCAGCTATTGCTGAGCCAACTTTACAGCAGTGTAATTTCTCTGTGTTTGTGGTGGTTATTGTTACCGTAGACAAACCTGTGAAATAACTAATATTAACTAATATAGCTATATTAGCTATATAAAACTAATAGCTAAATATAGCTGCCTCTGTCAGTCACGCAGGAAGTTGTGTCTCTGGCCTGGGCAGTTTTCTCCAAGGAGTTTAAGAACTTTACACAAACATAGTATTCAACTTTCTGGAAGAAATTATTCAGGATTCCTCTCACAGAGGTTCGTGTTCATTACACTGTTCTATAATGTCATATATACCCTGATAGTCCTCAGGGCAGTGCAGCTGTAGTAGGGCAAGTGGGATCTGATGCTTCTAAAGAAATATATCATAGAATCTGAGAGTGTTTTGGATTAGAAGGGACCTTAAAGACCGTCTTGTTTCCAAGGGGCAGGGACACTTTCCACTACCCCAGGTTGTTCCAGCCTGGCCTTGGACACTTCCAGGGATGGGGCAGCCACAGCTCTCTGGGCAGCCTGTGTCAGGGCCTCCCCACCCTCGTGGGGAAGAATTCCTTCCCAATATCCCATCTAACCCTGCCCTCTGTCACTTTGAAGCCGTCAGTCACCCCTTGTGCTGTCACTCCACACACAGACTTGCAGGAACAATCAAACCGCTCTTCCGTGGCGTTTGAATGAGGCCGGGAAGGACGAGCCACCTCACTTCTCTTCCCTGTAAAACTGTGCCTCTGATAAGGAGGAATATAACTGGTGTTGGATTTCATTCCTTCCCCATTGTTCAATGGGTTCTCCTGTGCCCTTGCAGTGGTGGGGGGGCTCCTCTCTGCCCACCTGCTCTCCAGGAAGGCTGGTGTGGAGGTCGAGGCGGGCTGGCCATGCTCGGGGCCTCTCCTGAGGATGGCAGAGGAAGCAGCTCGTAAACTGCTGCCAGGTGAGCCCTTCTCTGCTTTGTGTCACTGTGCTGTGGGTTAGGAGGTGGCTGCTGGCTTTGGTGAACATGTACAACTTGATGTGTCAGCTCATAAACCAGCCCTGTGTTCCCTGAGCTCAAAGCAAGGGAAAATGCAGTTGTATACGTGCATATCAAGTGTTGCGTGGGCTTAACACATCAGTTTGTGGCTTGCTGAGGGGAAATGTACTTCATATAAATAATAAATAAAGGCTGTGAAACAGCAGCTTGTAAAGACAAGGAGATGCAGCCTTATCTCCTCTCTGTGGGCTGCAGCTGGGATGTGTTCCCTGATGGCATGGCACTGTCCACCCAGGGCTGCCACGGAGGGATCACAACCTCAGTGCTGGCACTTAGCCGGAAAAAAAGTAGGGATGCTGCTCTGGCAAGGTGGAAGAGATCCACAGTACCTTCCCAGGACTGTGTTTACCTTGGGACTGCCCCTCCCAGGGTCACACTGCTGCTCATTGTGTTCTTTAAAGTCTCTGCAATCACTCCAGTCCCACTCCTTGCCTGTGTGCAGTGGGCTGTGAAGCACATGTTGGCTTGAGAGTCTGTTAAACATGACCTTGAACACTCATGTGACCCAAAAATCCTGTGTTTCAGCTTTCCAGACCCCAACTGGGATGCCCTATGGCACAGTGAACCTCCTGCATGGAGTCAACCCTGGGGAGACCCCAGTTACCTGTACTGCTGGAATTGGTACATTTATAGTGGAATTTGCCACTTTAAGCCACCTCACTGGTGACCCAGTGTTCGAGGATGTGGCCAGGAAGGCTTTGAAGGCCTTGTGGAAAAATCGCTCAGATATTGGGCTGGTGAGTGAGGAATGGACTTGGACTGTGCTGCTTTCTGTGTGGTTTTGTGGATGCAATGCTGAGTGTGAAAAAGCATAAAGAGGGAGGAGATAGAATTGGATAAATAACCACAGTGCCCATAACTGGGCTGAAGTCTCGTGTTTGACATTGTTCCTGAACACCTGCAGCATCCACATCTCTGCTTTGCTAGTGCAGCCCAACATTATCCCGTTGTTCTGTCCCCTAACAGATGT